TTTGTCAAAGATCAGATGTTCGTATGTGTGTGGGTTAATACCCGGATTTTCAATTCGATTCCATTGGTCTGCCTGTCTATTTTTGTGCCAATACCAAGCTGTTTTCAGGACTATAGCTCTATAATAGAGCTTGAGGTCAGGGATAGTGATGCCTCCGGACGTTGCCTTGTTGAACAGGGTTGTTTTGGCTATCCTGGGTCTTTTGTTTTTCCATACAAAATTGATTATTGTTCTTTCAAGGTCTGTGAAGAATTGTGCTGGGATTTTAATGGGGATAGCATTGAATCTGTAGATTGCTTTTGGCAGGATTGCCATTTTTACTACATTGATCCTACCTATCCAAGAGCATGGGAGATCTTTCCATTTTCTGAGGGCTTCTTTAATTTCTTTCTTTAAAGATTCAAAGTTCTTACGATACAGGTCTTTCACTTGTTTGGTTAGCGTTACCCCAAGGTATTTTATGTTGTTTGTGGCAATTGTAAAGGGTGATGTTTCTCTGATTTCTCTTTCAGCCCTTTTATCATCTGTATATAGTAGGGCTACTGACTTTCTTGAGTTGATCTTGTAACCTGCCACTTTGCTGAAGGTGTTAATCAGCTGTAAGAGTTCCCTGGTAGAGTTCTTTGGGTCATTGATGTAAACTATCATATCGTCTGCAAACAGTGAAAGTTTGACTTCTTCCTTCCCAATTTGTATCCCCTTAATCCCCCTTTGTTGTCGTATGGCTATAGCTAGAACGTCAAGTACCATGTTGAAAAGGTATGGAGAGAGTGGACAGCCTTTTTTTGTTCCTGATTTTAGAGGAATTGCGTTGAGTTTCTGTCCATTTAGTTTGATGTTGGCTGTTGGTTTACTGTATATGGCTTTTATTATGTTTAAGTATGTCCCTGTTATCCCAGATCTCTCCAAGACCTTTATCATGAAGGGGTGTTGGATTTTGTCAAAGGCTTTTTCAGCATCTAGTGAGATGATCATGTGATTTTTGTTTTTCAGCTTGTTTATATGGTGGATTACGTTGATGGATTTTCGTATGTTGAACCATCCCTGCATCCCTGGGATGAAACCTACTTGATCGTGGTGAATGATTGTTTTGATGTGTTCTTGGATCCGATTTGCCAGTATTTTATTGAGTATTTTTGCATCAATGTTCATGAGGGATATTGGTCTGAAGTTCTCTTTCTTGGTTGTATCTTTGTGTGGCTTGGGGATCAAGGTTATTGAAGCCTCATAGAAAGAGTTTGGCAAAGACCCTTCTGCTTCTATTGTGTGGAACACTTTGAGAAGAATTGGTATAAGCTGTTCTTTGAATTTGTGGTTCTACCCTCCTCTTATCCCCTTCTCTTTTTCCTGGTTCCCTCTCTTCTCCCCCCATTTTCCCAATCTGCTCAGGAGATCTTGCCTCTTTCCACTTCTCTGGGGTATAATGGATATCTCTTGGGAACCCTCCAGTTTCCCAGACTCACTAACCCTGGTATTGTAGGCTGACACTTCCCTGATCCATGTCTAGATCCATATATGAGTGAGTACATACCATGTTTGTATTTCTTTGACTGGGTTACCTTACTCAGGATGGTTTCTTCTAGAGCCATCCATTTGCCTGCAAATTTCAATATTCCGTTGTTTTTTTTCCGCTGACTAGTACTCCATTGTGTAAATGTACCAAATTTTCTCTATCCACTCTTCAGTTGTGGGGCATCTAGGTTGCTTCCAGGATCTAGCTATTACAAATAATTCTGCTATGAACTTAGTGGAACAGACATCCTTGTTGTATGAATGGTCGTCTTTTGAGTATATGCCTAAGAGTGCAATTGCTGAGTCGTGTGGTAGACTGATTCCCATTTTCGTGAGGAATCTCCATACTGATTTTCAGAGTGACTGTACAAGTTTGCACTCCACCAACAATGGATGAGTGTTCCCCTTTCTCCACATCTCCTCCAGCATAAGCTTTCACTGGTGTTTTTGCTTTTAGACATTTGACCGGAGTAAGATGATATCTCAGGTTGTTTTGATTTGCATTTCCCTAATGGCTAAGGATGTTGAGCACTTTCTCAAGTGTCTCTCAGACATTTTAGTCTACTCTATTGAGCAATCTCTATTTAGTTCAGTCCCCCACTTTTTAATTGGGTCCTTTGGTGTTTTGGACCCTTGCTTCTTGAGTTCTTTGTAAATTTTGGAGATCAGCCCTCTGTCAGATGTGGGGTTAGTGAATATCTTTTCCCAATCTGTGGGTTGCCTTTTTGCCTTGCTGACTGTGTCCTTTGCCGTACAGAAGCTACTCCTTTCAGGAGGTCCCATTTATTAATTGTCCATCTCAGTGCTTGTGCTATTGGTGTTATGTTTAGGAAGCGGTCTCCTGTACCAATTCTTTCAAGGGTACCTCCCACTTTCTCTTCTAACAGGTTCAGTGTGGCTGGATTTATGTTGAGGTCTTTGATCTATTTGGACTTAAGTTTTGTGCATGGCAATAGACATGGATCTATTTGCAGCCTTCTACATGCCAATATCCAGTTATGCCAGCACCATTTGTTGAAGATGCTATCTTTTTTCCGTTGTATAATTTTAGCTTCTTTGTTGAAAATCATCTATTCATAGGTTTGTGAATTAATCTCAGAGTGTTAAATTCAATTCCACTGGTCTACCTGTCTATTTTTGTGCCAATACCTAGCAGCTTTCAGGACTACAGCTATATAATAGAGCGTGAAGTCAGGAATGGTGATGCCTAGAGATGTTGCCTTGTTGAGCAGGATTGTCTTGGCTATCCTGGGTCTTTTGTTTTGCCATATAAAGTTGAGAATTGTTCTTTCATGGTCTGTGAAGAATTGTGCTGGGATTTTTATGGGGATTGCATTGAGCATATAGATTCCTTTTGGCAGGATTGCCATTTTTACTATATTGATCCTACCTATCCAAGAGCATGGGAGATCTTTCCATTTTCTGGTGTCTTCTTTAATTTCTTTCTTTAAAGACTCAAAGTTCTTGGGATACAGGTTTTTCACTTATTTGGTTAGCATTACCGCATGGTATTTTATCTTGTGTGTGGCAATTGTAAAGGGTCATGTTTCACTGATTTCTTCCTCAGCCCTCTTATCTTCTGTATATAGTAGGGCTACCGATTTTTTTGAGTTGATCTTGTTCTTGCCACTTTTCTGAAGGTGTTAATCAGCTGTAAGAGTTCCCGGTAGAGTTATTCGGGTCACTTATGTATGTAAACTAACATATCATCTGCAAATAGTGATAGTTTTACCTCTTCCTTTCCAATTTGTATCCCCTTGATCTCCTTTTGTTGTCTTATTGCTCTAGCTAGAACTTCCAGTACAATATTGAAGAGTTATGGGGAGAGGGGACAGCCTTGTGTTGTTCTTGATTTTGCCTGAATCGCTTTGAGTTTCTGTCCATTTAGTTTGATGTTGGCTGTTGGTTTGCTGTATATAGCTTTTATTATGTGTAGGTATGTTCCTGTTATCCCAGATCTCTCCAAGACCTTTGCCATGATGGGGTGCTGGATTTTGTCAAAGGCTTTTTCAGCATCTAGTGAGATGATCTTATGATTTTTGTTCCCCAGCTTGTTTATATGGTGGATTATATTGAAAGATTTTCGTATGTTGAACCATCCCTGCATCCCTGGAGTGAAGCCTACTTGATCATGGTGGTTGAGTTTTCTGATGTGTACTTGGATCCAATTTGCCAGTATTTTATTGAGTATTTTTGCATCAATTTCCATGAGGGAAATTGGTCTGAAGTTCTCTTTCTTAGTTGAGTCTTTGTGTGGCTTGGGTATCAAATGTTATTGAATCCTCGTAAAAAGATTTTGGCAAAGACCCTTCTGCTTCTATTGCATGAAATCCTTTGAGGAGAATTGGTAGAAGCTGTTCTTTGAATTACTGGTAAAATTCTGCACTAATGCCTTGTGGCCCTGGGCTTTTTTTGGTTGGGATACTTTTGACGACTGCTTCTATTTCCGTAGGGGTTATAGGTGTATTAAAATAGCTTACCTGTTCTTGATTTGATTTTGGTAGGTGATATCTTTCCAGGAAGTTGTCCACTTCCTTTAAATTTTAGAATCTTGTGGAGTACAGGTTTTCAAAGTATGACCTGATGATTCTCTGGATTTCCTCAGTGTCTGTTGTTATGTCCTCCTGGCAGGCCAATCACTGGTCCACTCCACCCCAAACAACTGTATTGTTTTGATGCTGTGAAAACGCCTCTTTCTAAAGGATTGTTATACAACAAACAGTCATTGACCCAGCTTTACAACACCTAAGAAATCAGCTATGGTGTACAGCAGCTTATAGTTTATCAACATTAGACATAACAAATAGATCTTTAAGGAACAACACATAAGCTGTTCATATCTAGACTTCGAACTTAAGCCACAGCATTGCAAAGCACTTCACTGACAGAACTGCCAGTGCATTCCACAGGTCTGAAGGGCACACGTGGGAACATTAAAGGAGGAAGGCTTCTCCCTTGGAATGCAAAGAGTGCAGATACTAGAAACAGGCTTCACTTTAACAACTACATGGGGAGACATTGCCCCATCAGATGTAGAGATCAAATTCTGTGTAATATATCCCTTGTAAAGAGCAGCCATGCCTTTCATTTCAGAATGAGAACAAGTCACATTCTCCCTCCTCCCCAATGCTCATTACTGGTTTGGTGTTGGATTTTTTGTTGATGTTGTTTGCCCTTTTACGTTTTAATAAAAAGCACACACTTTTCTGGCACACTTAGACTTTCAGAAAAAGGAGTCACATTTAAAAATTACATTTAACATGGAGAACCTAAAAGAGTGAATTAGAACCCAAACCGTATTGGACAGTATCAGAAGTCCTCCTGTTGCTATTCAACATGAATTGGACACCAGTATTGACAGAAAATATATCAAAGCATCATGAAGACCCTTGGAATTCTAAATGGTGGAACAAAACAGTGAAAGAGTACAAATGCCCATTGACCTCTTACTGAAATACAGACAAAAGTCGAGACTGCTTTGTGTGAATGCCATTGCTTTTTATAAACAAGGGATGAGGTAGTGCATAGGCTATCACATCAGAGATTGTCTTCTCTTCTGCAGGCTGTAGAAATGGGCCTCCTTCAGTATCTGGTTAATATGAGAATAAGGTCCTTGACCTTCCAACACTACATCATCCTCCTGGGAGATCTCGTAGGCATTGTAGTTAAATTCAGGCACGGTCTTGTTTAAGGTGTTCTCTGACATACTTTCTGCATTGTTGTTACTGGTGCCGCTGTGGCTCCATGCATTACCACAACTTGACGACTGGAAGGAGAAAGATAGAAGGAGGATGACTATTATGATATTGTCATCATTTTCTGTTCATCTTGAAAGCATCACACTCTATAAAAGGCTTCACTGTCCATAAAGTGCAATCACTTGGATAGCTCATTTACTCCTCACAACAGCACTATTGCTCAACCTGAATAGCACCCATTTGGCAGACAAGGAAGGAGATGTGTGATGGGCCCAAAGTCCGGTCTCTAGGAATGTCAAGAAAAGGGTAAGAACACAAACTTTCTCACTCAAACTCCCACCATATATCCTTTGACCCATTGTCACCATGCATTCTGATTATCTGCACCAGGGAAGTAAGCTCCCAAGCTCCAGGGAAAGCAGCAATCAGTGCTGCAGAATGTGATCAGTATTAGTACCAAAATAAGTAATATGTATGTCATGCCCTAACGTGGCAAAGAAATGATGGGGAAAGTTCCATTTACACATATGTGCATACATACAAATAAGAGGGTCTTTCCATACCTATGTCCTAGAGTGGGCATGTAAAAATTCAAGACTCCACTCATCTCAAAGTGCTTTTGATATGTTTTAATGGCAGCTGTATGTCAAAATTCAACAATCCTGTTGACTAACACCCCTGGTCTCCTATTTGTGGGTATGCTATAGTTTGTATACGATTTGCTTGTTCTTAATGTTGTCTGTCCTGGAAATAACTTCACTCTGTCATATTAGTAATGATATGTAGTGACATTATATTATACCCTAAAGAGCTATATTCTGGGACTCTGTAGACTAGGGATGAAATTCAGAGGAAGATTGTTTTCCTCACATGCATGGGACCTTGGCTTCCATCTCATTGGGTACAACACACAAACTTGTGCACACACTCAGGAACTGCTTGCCTGTAATCTTAATACTATCAAGGTGATCACAATGATGCTTATGTGAACAGAAATGTTGAACAATATTGGTATTGTATATCTTTAAGGCCATTTTTTCCAGGTAGGAACTGATTGTGACAGAAACCAAGACATGTCATCATTCTCAGGTCATGTGGAAGTCCTCAACTCACTACATCACCTGAAGTATCAAATGACAGTAAGTATTTATGTACCGAGATTCATGCATTCATAGACTCTTCTTGAGAGACACAGAAGCCAAATGAATCTGTGTGAGTAACTGTCTAATAGCTATTACTGGTTACAAGGGCTATGTTTGTGAACATGGTCTCTGAGGAAACCAGACAAACTATACCCCTTCTAAGGCCTGCAGTGTAAACATCTCCACATAGCACTTTCACTATATAGTTTGCTTATAAATCAAAAGCCATGTACCTATCTCATTGGTAAAAACATCTAGTACAGGTTCTGGTTCCCTTAGGTAGATTTCCTTTCTTGGTTGTTTGGTGTGGGTTTTACTTTTTTGATGGACTATCTTCTGTACAAAAAGGCAAGTAAGGCAACCATCACAAATGGAAGCATATTTGGTTTATACTCTTGTGTCATGAAGATGTAAGCATAATATGAAGAGGGGATATAGTACATTATGGGGCTGAGTATATGGTAACGTTGGTAGAGAGCTCCCTAGCACACAGGAAGTCCTGGCTTGAAAACCAGCTCAGAACAGCAGGTGCTAAGAAGCACTCCTGACTGCAAACTAAACTGATTTGCAATTTCATCCTATGGATTAGAGAGACCAAGAGCAACACAACAAAATAATAAAAGACTCTTTGCTTTTGCATTGGAATGGGTATCTTGGTGATTTTGGGGTTCAAAATTTTGGCACAACAGTTGGAATGTTTTGGTATTGTAGGTATTTTTCAGATTTTATTGTATGCATATGTATATGGGCATTTTACTTCATATATATCTCTGCACCGCTTTCATGCCTGGCTCCCAAAAAGACCATAAGAAAGTTGGAATTTCAAAAAAAAGAAGCACTCTTGTAGAGTCAGGTGGAGGTTGGAGGATCACAATGTCATTGTTATGGTCATCTTTGGCAACACAGCCAGTTTATGTTTACTTGAGTCTCCTGAGACCCCCTTGCCTAGGAGAACTTACAGGAAAACTCACAGCTCATAGGGGAATTCTTCAGAGTCATTGTGAATAAAACAGTAAAAGTTCAGACTCTAATTTCTAGTTGACTTACAAAAACTTTACCTCTGATGTGTAGTGGTCTCATTACAATAATGTTCATTGACAGATTGTACACCTTCAGAATTTTATGTTCATATTTGGAAACATAGCCAAGTTGATGTTTCCTTGATTATCCTGAGACACCCCTTGCCTAGGAGAACTTACAGGAATCCTCACAACCCACAAGGGAACTCTTCAAAGTCATTGTGAAAAAAAGCAAAGATGATCAGCCTCTAGTTTCTAATGAAATTATAAAACTTTTACCTTGGTTGTGTAGTGGCATCATTACAATAATGTATACTGACTGGTTGTACACCTTCAGCATCTTAAATATTAAGAACCAGCAAGCAGTTACCAATTTGTATAGGAGAATTGACTGGAAGGGCATGTTAGCACAAACATGAAATACCAGCATCTGGGAGGCTAAGGTAGGAGGATGTGGAGGCCCTGATGGATTACATACTGAGATCCAGGCCAACCCTGCTGTGTATTGAGAACCTGCCAAAACAGAGAGACAGAGTCTGACAGGGAGCCATCCAGGAATGCAGAAAAGAGGAAAGGAAGAAATAAAAAAGGCTGAAGTAAATTAAACTAATCTAAATTATACTACATCTATTAATTAAATAGAGTCTTCAGGTCCATTTCTGGCAACAAGGTTAACATAGTCATGCTTTTGCTTATACACAATGATGTCCCTGCTTTCTTATGGGATGTCTGTATTTCTCAAGTCATTTGAAAACACTGAGGTATAGTTAATAAATTTCAATACTAATAATTGGTTGGAAAACATTCCAGTTATATTATTATAGTTACTTTCTATTGTCGTTAAGACACCATGACCAAGGCAGTTCATGGAAAACCTACTGGAGACCTAAGTTTTAGAGGGTAGTTAGAGTCTATGACCACGTTGGTGGGCTCATGTTAGCAGGTGCTGCAACAGGTGCTGAGAGCAGATAATTTGGGACAAAACCAAGAGCGAGCAAGCAATCGAGAGAGAGAGAGGGAGAGAGAGAGAGAGAGACAGAGAGACAGAGACAGAGACAAAGACAGACAGAGACAGAGAGAGTGACAGAGAGACAGAGACAGAAAGACAGAGTGACAGACTGAGAGAGAACTACCTGGGAATGGCATGGCATGGGTACTTGAAACTTCAAAACCCATACCTCCTCCAACAAGGCTACATCTCCTAATCCTTCCAAAACAGGTTTAGCTACTGAGGATCATGCATTTCAATATATGAGTCTATTGGGGCCATTCTTACTCAAACCACCACATACCTGTGCAGTTTGCAACTGGGTATCTTCACTTTCCAACTCATTTTCAAGTAATGTATAGAGAAAATCCAGATTCCCAGTGTAATTAATTGAATCACAGATGCTATGATTATGCCAGTGAAAACAGATTATGGGACTCAGTTCCTCCTGACATCTAAACGAGGTTCCTGAATTGTATGTAGTTCTAGAAGAGACCTTCAGAAGAGGGCTCAGTGCCCTACAAATTGGAAAACACAGTCTACCTCCCTCATCCTACAGTAGTGCTTTCTCCATCTACAAGGCTATGAACCCTATCAACAGTCGTCCCAGTTATGAAGCCTGGAGTTTTTAACAGTCTTGCTGTGAGAATGACCTTGAGAAGGAATCCTTGAATTAGAGATATTTTAATACAGTGGGGATTTGTTTACTGCTTGATCAGACTGCCCCTTTGACATGGAAAACTGCTCTTCATAACAGAAATATTTCCCTCTTCCTACATCTGAGTTTTATAGACTACGAATTCTTTTTTTGTTTTGTTTTTCGAGACAGGGTTTTTCTGTATTGTTTTGGAGGCTGTCCTGGAACTTGCTCTGTAGACCAGGCTTGCCTCAAACTCACAGAGAACCGCCTGCCTCTGCCTCCTGAGTGCTGGGATTAAAGGCATGTGCCACAATGCCCAGCCAACAACCAGTTCTTTCACTAGAACATACAAGACCTGAGAAGTTCCAAGACTGTCCAAAATTTCATTGACACATGAATGCTTCCTAGCATGTTCTGACTGCCTCCATAAACATCTGTTCACAATGCGCACTCAAGTAGGAAGACCAATCCTTTACAAAAAAGGGATGTTTATTGGCTATGTTGGTATCAGTATATGCTTTTACCCTGCACATGTGAGTAAGAGGAAGTCAGGTCTCTGTTGTGCAGACTGAGTTCCAGGACAGCCAGACTACACAGTGAAATCATGTCTCTAAAACAATAAAAACAAATAAACAAATGGATAATTAACAAGATTGATTCATTTATGTGTTCCTGAGCACATGCGATGTGCAAGATGAATACTTATGTGCCTATGCAGGCCAGAATAGTGAAAAGCATGCTCACTAGCTGGAATTACAGGTGTTGGAACCCCTCAATATGGATGTTCATGTCCTCTGAGAGAGAAACTACTGTCTGCAACTGCTGACCCATCTCTCTAGCCACACAAAGCCCACTCTGGCATCCCTGCATTCTAAACACAGTTTAGCTCTTATTATGGGCATGTCCTTGCAAATCCATGCATTCCACAAAATAAAAGCATCATTAAGATGAATTTGGGGAAGAAGGTCTCACCATTTAAAAATTCCAAGTGTGATAAACAATGATGATGTGGCCTAGGCCCATGTGCAAGACAATTTATACTTTGTTCAAGGCCTTAGTAAAATCTGCATGTTTAACACAGAGCTCAAGAAGCTGCATGGCTTCCTGAGAATTGCTAGAGTTGTATTAGAGGACGAGACAGAGAATCAACCCTGGGACTTTCTTCTCAGTGGCTGGGAGCCTTCCTTATCGGGGCTGCATTGTGACAGAATACTGGGTAGTCACATGCTATTTCAAGGCCTAGCATGGTAAGAAAATACTAAGTGTACCTACATTAGTG